GCCCCGCCGCCGCCACTCCCCGCGCCGCGGCCAATGGGCGCCGCGGGGCCCGGGAGGCCGCGCCGCCCGCCTGCATAACGAGTGTGTGTGTGTGTGCGTGCGTGCGTGTGCGCATAAATGCACAAATGCACAGGAACGGCACACTTCGCGTGCTCCATTTCCCGAGATGAGGTGAGGCTAAGAAGGGCAGACTCTCACACAGTTCTAAGTTTTTGTTTCTGCTCTCTCTCAGAGCGCTGCTGTTTTCTGTCATGCCCCTGTTGCTTTGGTTTTACACGTTTGTAATATTTACAAACAGGTAAGCGTGGGAAGTTTGATACTAAGTTAAAGCCCCGTTGAAACAAACGTTGAACTGTATTTGTCCGTTACCACCATACAACCCGCAACGCAACACTTTGCTCCACAGTCAAAGCCTAAGCTCTTCACTGCTCAGAAACCTTTCCGTTAACTCATGTACATGCAGGAATTAAAAACCTGCAATAGGTATTCAAACAAAGGCAACCACAGGTAATATAAAATAATTTATTCACATAATTTACATATAGAATATGACTGCCTTCTTTGAAACAGAAAGCCTATATGTGATTATACATGCGCCAGACAACTCTCTAAGCAAAGCAGTTCTGTGCCGTATCTTTGTAATAAAAAACAATAAACTGATAAGCATTGAGATTTCACAATTTTTCCATCGTTCACCATTATATAACTTCCATATCCAAACAGAACACAAGTTGTTTCATCTCTATTCCTTGTTTTGTTTTGTTTTTAAAAACAAGAGTATCCTATAACAAAGTGCATGTGGTTTGCTGCTGGGGAGGAGGGAGCAGGAGGAGTAGCCCCAATTACCAGGACAGATAAGGCACCTTAAATCTTAGTAATGAAATAATTCTTATTTTTGCCTTCTAATTTCAGTGCAAGCTAAAATGTATGCAACTAAATGCAGAATGGCTATCAACTAAAGGTACTTAGAGCACATTACAGCCTTCTCCCCTCTCAAATTTTCACACTACATCAGTGCAAGTGACTTCACATGCCACATGTAACAGGAAATAAACACATACATGAAATGGTATCTACAAGATATACAATACAAGGAGCTTTATGTATACATTAATCTATTAATGTTTACAGTAAGATGATATTTAGATAAACATTTCAAGTTAAATGGAATAGGCAGAACACAAAATACTGTCTGAACAGAAAATGTTGGGGTTTTTTTGACAGTATGCTTTTCAAGTAAGTTACTTTATTCTGGGATTTTTAGTCCCTTTTCATTATCTCAAGAAATACAGCTGCTTGTGACATTTGGCTGACAGAGACCTAGTGTACTAATTTATAGTAGCTTTTTTGTGCTTTTTCCCCTTACTGACAAAAGTTTTAAAGGCTTCTTTAGAAGCCTTGCTAATAATTTCTGAATAGGCAAGCATTCTCAAGCTTCAAATATTTCCATATCAGATAGATACCTATATGAAAATGATTGCTATTAAGATCATTTTCCAGTCTGATGAGGATGGGTTTCTGGAGAGCCTTAACAATTCTAAACACTGGTTTCTCTTTCATATCAGATTACCATTTTATTTTATTTTATTTTATTTTATTTTATTTTATTTTATTTTATTTATTTATTTTTATTTTTTTCTCCTCTCTCTTCAAATAAACCTGTTGGTATTAAGCCACAGAAAAAAAATGAACTTCTTAAACCTACATACTTACTTCAGGCAATAAAGAGTTTAAGAATGTATTTTCAATTTTTCAATGGCCACCTGATTTCTAGACTGCACGGACTTCATTATCTCGTCAAGGGAATATTCCTACTATGCAAGTGAAAAAACAGACTAAAATCTAATGCTACACCAGAATTTTATAGAAAGTTACAGCACAGGTGGATGTGAAATATACAGAAAACTAGTCAAATTTAACTGCTTCAAAGCAGTAAATCCTTAAAGCATCCTCATTTTTTAGTACAGCATTAACCACAGCTCTGACTGTGCTACTTCACACAAGAGGAACTCTTGGAAGTCAGTATACACATATGCACCTACATACAATACCAACGAACAGAAATGGCATTTAGTCCCTTGTTTTCAGTGTACCTTATTTAGAAGGAAATTAGCATTTAGATTGGGAAATGTTAATCTCTTCCTCCTCCTCTAACAGAATAGTTGGAAAGATTAACTAAGTATAGCATCTTTTAATAAATTAATTATGTATTTTCCATGTTTCCCTCTAAACATTTTAAGGAGTTAGAACCATTAGGCTTTACAAGGTAGTCTCTTTCAATTTATGTACGCTTTCTTTATCACAAAAATACATAATTTGGAGCTGCCAATAGAAATTGGTGGCAATGCTGAACATAACTATGTATTTACTAGACCATACTTGCAGAATTTCCTTCTTGATCTACAGAGATTATATATATAAAAAGTCCATTTCTCATTCTAACAAGGTACTTCACGAAGAGAAGCAGAGAACTTTTAAAGCCGGTATCACAAGCTTTAGCATTACAATTCAAAGGGATACTGTCACAAAAATAAGCATTTCTTCATTGCACTTTTCCAGAAGATCATCATGCACCCACTAGCAGCATCTGAACAAGTTAAACCTAAGCAA